GATTCTAAACGATTAAAATAATATGAACCACGTGCATAAATATCTTTCATATTTAGTTATTTTTCTGTTAAAAGTTCTTTAATAATTTTTTTTTCAATATATAATCACGTACATCTATGTAGATTGTTTTCATATCAGACTGTAATGATAAATTCTCCTTTGGCTGCTTCTATATCATTTGAATTTATTACAATTGATGTTGATTGCATATGACTGAAAAAGTTATGAAGACATACTCATTTATATACAATAGCTTTATATGAAAAGAAAGTAGGTCAAAAACATTATACACATGTGACGTGATGTAAAAGAGAAAAAAAACAATTTGTTTATCGATTTACTAATGATATATACGCGATAAAAACAATACAGTATCCATTCTAGCATAAATCATCAACTAACTATTTACTGTTACATTAATATTGGAATATACATTTTTCTTTTTTGAAAAGAGAATATATAGACATAGATTATTTAGATGTTTTCTTAAATAAAGAAAACAAACAGAAATTTAGCCAAGAGAAATGATAAGAATAATAATCTATTAGATTTACTCAGAGAGATAATAGTGAAGCCATGTAAGAATGAATGAGAGTAATCAATTTCTATACATTCTCATTAATGAAAAAGCAGAATAAAATAATAGTGATATATTGTTGTTTTTCTCTTTGATATAAAGAATAGAAAGAAAACAAGAATATATATCGATTTCTTTTCTCTTCCTTAGCATATATTTATCTGATATTTTTTCCTTCCACTAGTGTAAAAGAAAGCAGAACTGTCTAGACATCTTAGACTAGGCGAAATGGTATTTAGATAATCCAATGAATCTAGTACAGAAAAGAAGATATATCACTCGTGATGGATAAATATTGACCGATTTTTTTCCTCCTTCTCTTTTGCGTTTTTTTAGATACCTATTATTAATCATTATGATTCTTAAGTTTACATCACCTGATGTATTATTCAATTTGGATAATATTATCGTTATATCATGGCTTACATTAATATTTGTCCCATTTAGAAAATTATCAAAATATTTTATTCTCTCACCACCTTTATTCTTAGCAACACTATATACTATTATATTATTTCGAACATTATTTTTTCGAGAACCTGATAGTCCACCATTAGATTTTTTTCATTTATCAGGATGGTTTGCTTTATTAAAAGATCCATATATGATTATTGGTTCAACAAGTCATTTTTGTATCATGGATTTATGGGTTGGTTATTGGATGGTATATGATTTTTATAGTGGATATACTTTTGCATATAGCATTACTATGAATTCAAATGGAGTCTATCAAGTTACAAAATCATGGACATTTGGAAGAATTATTTTTACTATCATACTTTTATTAACTTATATGGTTGGACCATTTGGTTTTCTAATGTATCATTTGGCAAAATTTACTTTTTTAAAAAAATATGAAACTCATGTTCGTATCAATATTAAAGATGATCTGGATATTATCGATAAAACGAACAACAATCAATTTCAAACGGATTTAATAACTCGTCGTTATGTTCGATTTGGTGATCAATTTCCTGAACCATTACGTAAAATTTATCATTTAATTGTTGGTACAATTGGATCGATCGTTTTATTTACTATTGCTTTACCAGCCTATATTATGTTAAGAATTTATTGTCGAATTACTTATCATTCAAAACTGAATAAAACAAGTACAAATCCAAATAAATTTATTCCTGAATATGTACGAAATGCTGTAGCAAGTATGAAATTAACATCATTGACAACTCCTTATGAAAAACGAAATTGGATTTGGCATTTAAAATTTATGCTCTTACAAATATCAACATTTATTGAATATATTGCTAATGCAGATACACCACATGTTTTATTTACCGCATTACAAAATTATTTTACTGAAATTTATCATGTATCTTGTTATACATTTGGTGATGGTATCGGTGTTGGTTCACATGCATTAGTTAAACGATATTTACAAGATATTCCACCAAACAAAGGTTTTGAATCTTTAGGGTGGAACATTTCATCATCACAAAAAACATTTTGTGATTTTACAACTATTTTCCTTTCATCGGATAATCCAGACATGAAATTAAGTCGTCAAATTGTATTTCAATGGTTACATGCATTTCCTTATAATTTACGTACAAATAATAATGAAGCACAGACTTATTTATCTCGAATCGTTCCACGACGAATAGATAGACAACCAAACACGAAAGAAATCACTCAAGCAGTAGGTGAAGTTATGTTTTTCTTAGCGACTGGTGGTGAATTAAAAAAACATGAACGAGAGGCATTTCATGAATGTGCTACAGCTCCATTTATATTCTTTCCAGATTGGTTTAATTTCTTATTAGCTGGACATTATTTGGAACGTAAAACATTAAATGGTTATTATACTATTCTTCAAGCATTTTCACGATACGTTGATGGACCAGCTTTACGTGCTGCTTTCAAAGCAGCAGATAATAAGAAACCCAATAGTGAAGTTTTAAGATTAATAGCTATTGTCTTTTCAATTGCTGGTAGTGCTGCTCCTTCTAAATTAGCTGGTACTGTTATTGAAAAATTATGGTGTGAAAAAGATAAAGAAAAAAATGTTCGTTTATTTAAAAAAAATCCACATAATTTTATAAAAGAATGTGCTCGATTAGATAAAATCGTTCCAAATGTTAATGTCTTCGCTACCCAAGAAATTATTAATGATATTGAAAAAGATTTTCAAAATAATAATCAAAATATTAAAATTCCTGAAAATACACCTATTCATTGTTCACTTGTTCTTGCAAATCGTGATAAAAATGTTTTTCAAAATCCTGATGAATTTTTACCAGAACGTAGTGATCTAAATAAAATTATTGTATGGAATGGTGTTGAAGAAGATATTTTAAATGCGGATATAACAAAACGACCAGTACGTTATTGTCCGGGACATGATTTTTCAATTGATGTTATTCAATTTGTTGCTGAACAATTTTTACCAATTGTATCTGATGATGGTAATGTTCAGGAGCCAGGTAATATTTTCAACAATAGAAATTGTTCAATGTATAATTTTTGTTTCTTATAGATTTTTCATTGGATGAAATCGACGGACAAAATCATGTCTCAGAAGAAAATCTAAATATGAAAGCATTAGATGAAAATGACAAAAAATTAATTTCTATGAATTTAAATATTAATGGATTAAACGGAATAGATCTATCTTGCTATGCTGTATTAGATAATTACACAAAAATAGTTATATATTTAATGCAAAAAGCTGTTAAAGAATCGAATTTAGCTCCATCACGTGCTATTGATATTGATGATCCATTACATTTACCAGCACATGATTTAGGTATATTACGTACGGATATGGCAAAATTTTTACCTACTTGGGATGAAGATGATCCAAAAGGATCAGGTTTAGACCGACGAATAGCTCGATGGTTAGTTAATCAAAATATATGGGATTTTTATGATAGTCCTGTTGAATTTAATTCATTAGAACAGGCTATTAAATGGCGTGTACAAATGTTTTCTGATTTACCAGTACCTAATGTTATCTATGAAGATATGTTTTCTGATAAAGCTTTAACTCAATTAGCATTTGCTGGTTGTGCATGTCATTATACACAACGTATGGGAAAAGAATGGACTCCTGGTTCTGGTATACCTGAACAAAGATTTATGAAAAATGCAGTTTATGTTAATGATATGACTGGTTTATCGGCATTCAATGTAAGAAAACCATTTGAACGTTATGGTGCTGCTGCATATTTTGATGAAGATTTTCAAATAATTGCTATTTATTGGTCACATGCAAATCAATTAATTAAAAAAGGTGAACAATTCTGGAATCATGCAAAATATGTATGGCGTTCATCATTTTTTGCATATATAACAATACGTGATCATTTAATAGTTACACATATGATTGAAGGTAATGCATTTGTTAGTGCATCACGTCAACATTTACCAACAGATCATTCATTAAGACGTTTTATAAAACCATTTACATATCATACAATATCAGTTAATTATCAAGCTGCAGTAACATTAGTAAATAACCGTGGATTAGTTCATCGAATATGGGCATTTGATTATGATGAATTTTTAAAAGTATGTGATTATATATCAATGAATTATAAATTTGTTCTATTACCAGATTTTATTTCTGATACAATGAGTCCAGAAAATAATAAGAAAAGTGCAGATGAATGGGATAAAATCTATCCTATTTATCATGATATTAATACATTTTGGATGATTATACGAAAATATGTTACAAATTTCTTTGAAATAAACTATAAGGTTAATATTAAAAATGATGATTTACCAACGGATTTACATATGAAAGATTTTATCGATGAAATATGTAAACAACTTGGTATTGAAGGTATTACTTCATTACAACGATTTATTGATGTTCTTTCAAAATTAATTGCATCGAGTACAGGTGTACATGAACATGTTGGTCAAATAAGTGATTATATGCTTGATCCAAGATTTATTGGAGCAAAATTACAAGAAGGAAAAGAAATACAAAATATTCAAACATATACACAAATACTTGTTTTATCTGTTGTGACTGGTTTACGTATGCCTGGTTTATTAGAAGATTGGAGCCATTTAATTGAACGTAATCAATATTATTCAAAAAATCTTGAAAACTATGAAACTTTTAAACAAGATTTAAAAGACTTATCGAAAGATATTGATGATCGAAATAAAATACGAAACTATCCATTTCAATCATTTAATCCAAAATATATGGAATGTTCAACATCCGTTTAAATTAACTTTACAAACCTATTGCTTATATTAGATTTTAGTTAAAACATTATAATGTTTACTTAGTTTTTCATTGCAAATAAACCTTTTCTTGTCAACTATTTTTTCCCAGTAGAATTCTGTGAATCATCGACAGTACTTAGTCATATGACACATTTCGTAGTTATATATAATCAGTTATTCTATTTATATATTACAGTCAATATTATAATGGGGTCAGGTATCAGCTGTTCCATTGAATTAACTCCAACTAATAAAGATTTCTACTGGACAGGAGAGACTATTTCTGGTAATGTATCGTTGAAAGTTGAGAGAATGATCAAAATCAAATCGATGGATATATCCATAATCGGACAACGTAAGTACACAATCATCAATTTCTCTGGAGGAGGTCCAAATAATATTGGTGGTACACATATTGAAAAAATAAAAAAAGTGTTTTATATTAAACGATATCCTCTTCTCGTGCAATGAACACTTGGTGTATTTTATCCACAATCAAATACGTATCAATTTCGACCGTGCATGGTTCTTGCCTGATACTCGCGTAAAGGTTAGTATTATGGTAACGCCACATGTTTTCCCACCACGATCTATCGATTCAATTGAACGTGAAGTCCTTTAGAGCGTACTATACTAAATCCAGATCAGACAAACATTAAAAATATTACTGTTACATTAATACAGCATCGCCAATTCGGCAAACAATGTGGTACAGAAATCATTTTTGAGCAGCTATTATCAGGCATGATAAACTTTCAAGATATTTATTTTCATCGAATATTTAAAGTTGATGTATCTCCAAAGTGTACACCTAGCTCATTTTCTCGATCTTTATCCAGTTGTAAATTGACTTGGAAGATGTTGCTAACAGCGAACAATCATCACATAACTTTTAATAAATCATCATGTACTTTAAGAGGAAAGTTAAGGACACGTGTATGTACTTATTCTCTTTCACTTTTCACAACGTGTTAAATTTTCTTTTCTTTTCGTACTAAACATACAAATCTATTATGATACTAGCAACCATTTGATTGTATTAGTCATTTTCATTTTATTTTCGTCTTGTTGTGTACAATGGTTCAAAGTTAGTTGAATTGTCATTTTCATTTTTTGTTAAATCACATTTTTTCTCTCTCTCTCTAAGGTCCAATAAATATTGGAATTAGTGAACTAAATAATAGTTATACAAATGAAAGTACTTCATATAATAAAATAAGAAGTTCTTTATCCATATCAGAGCAACATGAAAATACAACTAAAGTTTCACCACGTAGTAATGTATGGTTGTATTTATCATTAACTATCAGTTCACTTGGTGTTATATTTGGTGATATTGGTACAAGTCCATTGTATGTAATTCACACAATATTTGCTAATAATCCTCATCCAACACCAGAACAATGTATTGGTGCTATATCATTAATCATATGGAATTTAATTATAGTTGTATCAATAAAATATGCTGTATTTATTTTAATGGCTGATAATCGTGGTGAAGGTGGAACATTTGCTCTTTGTGGTTTATTAACTGGTGAAAATAGTCAATTACGTGCTCGTGCTAAACATATTATTAGTATAGTTTCAATATTTGCTGCTTCACTTCTCATTGGTGATGGTGCATTGACACCAGCTATTAGTGTCTTATCAGCTGTCGAAGGTTTAGCAACGACTTCTGAAGAATTAAAAAAATGGATTTTACCAATAACAATTCTAATTATTATTGCTTTGTTTGTTGTACAAATGTTTGGCTCAGCTAAAATTGGTGAAAAGAAGATTTCGTTCTTTTTTGTTTTTACTTTTATAATTATTTAGGTTTAACATTTGCACCGATTATGATCGTTTGGTTTATTGTTCTATTTTCAATTGGTATTTGGCGTATTACATTTGAACCAACTATACTTCGAGCATTTAATCCATGGGAAGCAATCAGTTATTTAATTCGAGAAAGACAAAAAGGATTTCTACAGTTAGGTGGAGTTTTTCTATCAGTAACAGGTCTTGAAGCACTCTATGCTGATTTAGGTAAGAAAAATAAGTTTAATAAAGAAATTTGTTTTTAGAAGTCAATTAATATTTTTCGTAGGACATTTTGGTCGATGGCCAATTCGAACTAGTTGGTTATTTGTTGTATTACCATCAGTAATGTCTAATTATCTTGGTCAAGGAGCATTAATAATGCAACAACCTGAATCTATTTCTAATCCATTCTATAATGCAGCTCCATCATGGGCTCGTTGGCCATTAATTATTCTTGCTACTATGGCTACTAGTAAAACTAATATCATTAGAAAGTGTCTATTTATATGTATAATTTATTTATTTAGTTATTGCTTCTCAAGCAATTATTACTGGTGTTTTTTCATTATTAAGTCAAGCAGCTTCTCTTGGCTATTCACCACCATTACGAGTTATACATACAAGTAAGAAAGTAATTGGACAAATTTATGTACCGGTAAGATTCATATTGTAAAATATGATAAGAAAGGAAATGTTTTGTTTAGGCTATTAACTGGATCGTAATGTTAATGACAATAGCAATAACTTTATATTTTCGTAGTAGTGAACAATTAGCACATGCTTGTAAGTTCATCAATAAAACTTTTAAAATAAAATTAAAAATGAATGAATTCTTTAGATGGTGTAACTGTCTGTTCCGATATGTTGATTACAACAATACTCTATATGTGTGTTATACGTTACGTATGGAAACATCATTGGTTAAATGTGATTCTTTTTGGTTTATTTATTTTTATTGATATATCTTTTCTTGCTGCAAATGCTATTAAATTTTTTGAAGGTGCATGGGTAGCTTTATTAATTGCTATATTCTTTTTTATTATTGGTTTTTCTTGGTATTATGGTCAAACATTACTTCGACAATATCTTCATTTTAATGCTCAAACAACTGCACTTTTTCAATTACCAACTCGTCTTGGCTTTTTAAATGAAGTCAATGTATCTATAATAGAAGCTAAACATCAAGAATATCTACAATCAACAAGTTTAGCACTTGAACGACGAACAATATATAGTGATGACGAAGATGAATGTAAATCAGTACCTTTAATAAATGTACTTCCACCATCAACAACATCATTGAATATCTCAGATGGTGAGACTCATTTCCCAATCAATAATGGCTACAAGAGAAATACATTTCGAACAAGTTTAACAGGTAATGTTACCTTTACAGTTACACCTGGTCTTGGTGTTTTTTTAACAACATCATCAAGACATACTCCACATGTATTCGAACGTGTATTAGCACGTGTTCATGCAGTATGTAAATCTTTTCTAGATTTCTTCTTGATTATAAATATTCTGTTTTTTCTAATAGCTTCCAGAAACAGCAGTCTTTCTTAAATTAGAATATGCACGAATACCAATTGTTGATATAAGTCAAAGATTAAAAATTCAAAAGTATGGTTCAGATCAACGACATTTTTATCATATAACAGCACGTTATGGATATTCAGAACATAAAATTCATCCACTCGATATGTAAGTTTAAAAAAAATACCTTTTTTTTCTATAAAAATTTAATCTTTTTAATTTTTAGCTTAGAATTAGCCGCTAAAGAACATGGTATTCCAATACCTGAAAGTCGTAATATAACATTTTTTATTCCAGCAATAACTATTCGTGTTATACAAAAAGGTTGGCGTGTTATACCATGTAGATTAATATTAAGTATCTATTCGATATTGAAAAATATTTTTCCATTTGGTCAAAAAAATTTACATCTTTCACCTGATCATACAGTTAGTGTTGGCATGGTTGTACCTTTGTAAAAAAAAATTATATTGTATTATTTTTTGTTGCTTAATTTATTCGATAATTTCCTAGATCTTTTCTTTTTTAAATGAAAAATAAATATATCCGTTAGTTTATTTTAAATTGTCTATCGCTTTTTGAATGATTAATTTTTGACTATCTAAATAATATTTAGTAAATGTTTCATCATTATCAGGACATAGATTTAATTTGTTGAGATATTCATTAAATAAATTTAGAAGATATGGTGTATAATGTTCATTTTGTTGATTAATTGTTGCTTGTGTTTGTGCAGATAGAATTTTTACTAATTGATTTGATTCATTACTAAGATTACCATTCATATCTAAAGTTAATCGAGGTGGTAAATTTAATTGTTGAATTAATTGAAGTTTATCTTCAAGTAATATATCATCAGGTTTTAAACTAACAGGTATTGTAACACGATCATTAGAATTTATTGATAAAGCAAAACCATAGAGATATAACAATTCTTCATTCGATTTTGATCCATAGCAAATAGTTATTTCTTCATTTGAATTTAATGTTCGTTCAGATCGAAGAATTATATTATGTGTATCATCATCAATAAACCAACGTGCATTTGCATTTAAACTATAGAAGATATATAATTATATATGTATATGAATAAATAATAATATACCTATGATTAGCAAAATCAATGAATGGTACCAATGAAAGTGGTTCATTTTCTGGTAAATCAAGAACTCGTGACCAAATAAGATGATCAATGGCACAAAATAATTCAAAACTAGTTTCAATAGTACCAGCTTGATGTAAATATTCATATTCTTCTTGTAATTGTTGATATCGATCTGATAATGCTTGACCTAATGTACTATGTTCTACACAATTGAATAGATGCATTTTAATCTTTAATAATTCATCTGCTTCTTTTTCAATATTTAAAAGTTTTAACCAAGGATACCACGAAGATTCCTTTTCTTTATTATATTCACGTAATAGAAAAATAATTAATGCTTGTCGTTCTGTATCTGTATTTATAGTAGATAAATCAGGATGTTGAATATTAACTACTAATGACCATGGAACAATAGCAAGAGCAGTATGAGATTCAATAGAATCTGTTGTAAAAAGTCCACGTTCTTCTTTCGTATCAATTTTTACATGTTCATGAATTTTACCACCATTCTTTTTTATCCATTCATAAAAATTTAAATATTCACTATCTAGAGACATTGTTAATCATACTAGAAAATAAATCTCTTATTATAGATTATTTAAGATTTGTTTAAATTACAATCAAAAGTGTCGAATCTTTATTGAGAATCTGTTTAAAACAATGTGGTCGGATCACAAAAACAAACTGGAATAATGTGAGAAAAATGAGATTAAATGCGAGTGAAGAAAAAAAAATCAGATCTTATTCCATTGAAACATGTTTAAATGTTTTTAATGGTTCTTTCATATTTTTTATTGCCAATGGAGATGAAAATCGAAATATATAATGTGGTCCTCCAGCTTTATCATTGGTACCGGATAAACGTGCACCACCAAATGGTTGTTGATTTACAACTGATCCAGTTGATTTATCATTTAAATAAAGATTACCAGCTGCATTGATTAAACGTTCACGGGTTTTTTCTAAAATTTTATTATCTTGACAAAATATTGAACCGGTTAAAGCATAATTTGATGTTTGATTAACTACATCAACTATTTCATCAAATTTATTATCATCATAAACATGTACTGTTACAACAGGTCCAAAGATTTCTTCACACATTAATTTATCTTTTGGATCTGTTGTTTCAATTAATGTTGGTTGAACATAAAATCCAGTTGAATCATCATATTCACCACCAACAAGAATCTTTGTTGATGATGATGATCGTGCATGATCAATATAAGATTTTATACGATTAAATGAAGCACGATCAATAACAGCTGATGTAAATGTATCAGATTTTAATGGACTATCAATACGTAATTCTTTTGACATAATTGTTTTCATTTGTGAAAAAAATTCTTTCGATAATGAACGTGGAATATAAACACGAGAACAAGCAGAACATTTTTGTCCACTATATTCAAAAGCTGAACGTATTGTTCCAATGACAACAGATGTTAAATCAGCGGATGGATGAACTAAATGAAAATTTTTACCACCACATTCACCGATTAAACGTGGAAATGTTCGATAATTATCGAGATTTTCAGCAACCCATTTCCATAATGTCTATTAAAAAAAATAAAATATTATTGAAGTATTACTGAGAAATCGATTAGATAGATATAAATTTTACTTACTTTAAAGGTTTTAGTACTACCAGTAAATGTAATTGCAGCAAGATTTGGTGATTGAGTAATTTTTCTACCAAATTCTTCACCTTGAGCAGGTACAAATTGAATAATGCCAGGTGGGAGACCAGCTTCTTCCAAAATTTTATATACCAAATAGTTTGATAATAGAGCAGTATCTGATGGTTTCCATAAAACTGTATTACCCATTAAGGCTGGAGCTGAAGCAAGATGACCACCAATTGCAGTAAAATTGAATGGTGATACAGCAGCAACAAAACCTTCAAGTCCTCGATGCATATATGAATTATCCGAATCTCGAGTACTTATTGGTTGATAAGCCATGGCTGTTGCAAGATGTTGAATATTAAAACGCCAAAAATCAATTAACTCACAAGCAGCATCAATTTCTGCTTGAAAAACGGTTTTACCTTGACCAAGCATAGTTGTTGCTACTAAACGAGAACGCCATTTTAAATCTGCTGCAAGATCAGCTGCCTAAAATATTTAAGCAAATAAATATTTCTTTACTTTAAAAACAAACAAATTAAACCTTAAGAAAAATATTGGCACGTTGTTCGATAGGCATTAAATCCCATTTATATTGATTTTTAACTGCACTGTCGATAGCTTTTTGAATAAGTGATCCATCTGCATAACAATATTCAGCTAGAACATGTTTATGATCAAACGGAAGGACTTGTTTTTGAATATTTTTTGTCCAAATTTCTTTTCCATCAACGATGCATGGAATACGTGTTACTTTTGATTTATATTCATCGACAGCAGTTTGTACTTGTTTTATTTCTTTGCTATCTCGTCGATATTCAAGTATTGGCTCATTTTTAGTCGTATATCGAAGAGAAAATGTTGAGGCATATCGACGACAATATAATCGATACATCTTGAAAAAAAAAATTCTATATTAAGAGAAGCGTTTTTTTTTGTTCAAGAAAAAAAAGAGCAATTATGATAAATATCTGAATGATCAAGAAAACAAAAGAAAAAAAATGAGTATTGTAGAACGTATTGAAGTATATATATATATACACAACATGTCACTGTTAAAAAATAATAATAGTTATTTATCTTTATATAAGAGATTTTTCTAATAGAATACGATCATAACCGTCTGGTGGTGGAAAATAAAACGTTGAAAATTGAATATCAAGTATTGCTCCTATGATTAAAAATAAATAAAATTCTAATAAAATACAATATAAATTAAATATTTACCTTCATCAACATAAAAGATCGGAAAAACAGTGCCACGTGTAGCAACACGACATGAAGGTTCTTGTTCTGTTCCATTCACAAAAATACGAAATATTTCATGATCATATGCAAAACCCTATTTAAAATAAATTTAATTTATTATTATTATTATTTCAAATATAATTCATTATGTTTTTCTTTTTGTTATCTTATCTTAATTATATAACTTTCATTTATTCAATCATGTTGACAGTTACTTTTAGTCGATATCCTATCTTACTGATAATGAAAATATACCATGTGATGACATATCCTTGTATATATTTATTTTTCATCATCAGGTATAAGTTTCATGTCAAGAAAGATATGTTCTCACTGATAGATTAGTGTCTCATTAAATTTAAGTTAAAATTAAATGATTATAATATAAATTATGCTTACTATAACATCGCCTTCTTCAATTGCAGTTCTAAATTGACTAAGTACTTTGTTATCATGCTTAACTTGACCATATTGATCCATAATCCATGCTTCACAATCAGTTCCTAATGGAACTTTTGATAAATTTGTTCGACGAGTACCTAAACCTATACCCCATGTACCTATTAAGAAAAAAGGATAATTAAATATTGCTAAATACAAATCATTTTTATAACCTTGTGTCTGTAATTTAACTTCGAAATATGCTTTATTTTGTACTATTGGTGCATTCTAAATATTTGAAATAAGTCTATGAAAATAATATATAAATAAATAAATAAATAAATCTTACAGCAACAGCAGCACCAGTTCCACATAGACGTCGGCCATTTTTGACTACAACCACATCTTGACCCATTCGAGATGTATCAAGTGTGACTTCTGGTCGATGAGAAACAATAACATCAGGATAATTCGTACCTTGTAAAAATCGCAAACAACATGCACCTTTTAAGCACGAAAGCATAATCTAAAAGTAAACTTATAACTGTCAATTTCTTGTTCACAACAAACGTTAAATATAAAATGCGTAGAAAAAAAAACAAATTATGAGTAACATAACAAAAAAAAGTCAAATGAATAATAATAATTATTATAATAATAATGATAACGATGATACTAGAGTTTGAAGATTGCAATATAATCTGCATGATATGATCCAAAATAAAGATGATCATTGTATTCAGTCACTTGTGAAGCTGATGACACAACTAACCCTTCGGCATCATGTAATGAACGAACAATATGACCAGCATTCTTATCAAGTTCAAGGACGAGACCATATTGAGGTAAACGTTTTTGTATTTGTTTCAATGGACCAGGAATGAGCTAAAACAAATATAAACGAATAGTTTTGTTTTACAACAAACTATATTCTAATAAATAATTCTTAGTAATATTTAGAAGAAGAAAAAATATATATACATTGTTCTTTTTCAGACCTACCGATAGTATCGCTCGTATTCTAGGCCAATTACGTAAATGATCCAAGACGCTTGGTCGATCAACATGTCGAATACTAGCAAATGCAACCCAATAGTTTTGACTACTGGTTAATCGAATATTATCAGGAAAACCAGGTAAATTATCAATGAATATTTCACTCTTGCCAACCTGTGTAGTATTACCACCAATCCAATGTCGAATAACTCGTGCTAATGTCGTTTCACAAACTAATACTGATTGTTTATCAGCAGAAAGTTGTACACCATTAGGAAATGTAAGTTGATCATCAAGAATCCGTACTTTACCAGTTTCAATATCAAAGCGAATCAATCTACATCATAATACATATTTATTAATAAAATATAAAAATATATCACGCAAGTTTACCTTCCACGAGCATCAGCACGAAGTAGACTAGACATAAAATTTTTTCGTGGATAAAGCCAATCAGAATCGGTAAAAAAAAGATAACGTCCATCGAGTACATCAACATCGTTTACAAATCGTAATGGACGTGAACCAAATCGTTTGTCATCAGCACTTATAAGTTGAGTAAGTTTTTCTATTACAAAAATAAAGAAACTTTATGTATTAAAACAATCATGATTTATCATTTATTTGCTTTTATAATGTCAGAGACAGTGTGTAACACATACTTGTTTTCACATTTAATTTGAATAAGCCATGGTAAGCTTGAACAATAATAAGTTCATTATCAGAAAATCGACGAATTCCTAATGGACGACCACATACATGTTCGAGATTATCTTTTCCTAGAATAGAATTATAATTATTGATTAAAACGAATCCTAGAGAGATTTTTTACCACAGCTAAGTAAATGATCATCAATACTGAGCGATGAATATAGAATACGACTTGTTTTTGTAACTGGATCAAATTCAATGATTGAGCCATTTTTTAGACCAGTATAAAGTAATCCTAAAGTTTTTTTTATTTAATATAAAAAATAGAGAAATCAAATGAATAGAATTTACCATTTAATGGTTCAATTGATTCTGGTCCTTCACCAACATAAATTCGTTCACTATGAGCAAGAAAATCATTAACAAGTAGAGGTCCTCCATCCATTGTTGGCAATGAAGCTGGTAAACTTAACAAAAATATTTAAAAATATATTTCAATTAATAGCAAAACTTCATTTTCTTACTGTTTCGTTATACGATCTTCGTGTGGTAATCCAAATTGTATGAAACCTAACAAAACTATCATACCAATTGCTATTAAACCCAAACATATTTGTCTAAATTAAAAGAAAATCAATTTATAAAGAAATACACGTAGTAACAAACAATTGATTGTCTTATCTTTTTATTATTTATCTATCTGATGATCTCAAATTTCATAGAACAATATTAATAATCAACTATTTGTGATTATATATATATATATATTCCGTTTTAATTATATTTAAGATCGTATTATTTTATACTATACAATTTTTACTTATTCTGAAGGCAAACTTTTAGATATCGAACTTGACTTAAAAATAAAATCACTTACGATAATGGTATTGAAGATTGACTACGAACACGATGATCATCGTGATCTAATCTAATATTCTGATTAATATCATCTTTCGACGATTGAATATTAGATTCATCAAGGCGTTTTCGCTGACGAACACTTTCTGTCATTAGGTAAAAATTGTTGTAAACAAGAAACCAATTTATTACGTACAATTATTATTGGCCTATATATATTTATACTGATGTGTGTGTCCCAAAATAAACTACCTATTGAAAGGTTTCTAGCGAATCTTCGTATGAGCGCTACTATCGTATAATTATAATGAAGCATCTATTTTTCTCGTAGAAGGAAGGCGGTTGCTAGGAAACTGAATTTATGAATGGACATTCATTCTATTCGTTGAGTACATCCTATATATGAAAAAGAAACAGCTGATTCATTGATATTCTTTGTTTCACATATATTGTTTTTTTTACTTAAATTGATCAGAAAAATAAAGCATTTCTATTTTTAGTATACAATAAATTCGTCATATTGTTTGAACTTATTATGTATAGCTAATAACAATGAAAGTGCCTATTCGAGTAAGTTTCTTTTTTAATGAATACATCTTGAAAACTTATATATTATCTATTTTGTTTTCTATATAATAGCTACCAGTGAATAGAAACAATAATGACGAAGAAAAGAATGATTATGCAAATTTTAGTAATACAAAAATAAGTAAGAATTAATTTCTAAATATTATCTTATGTACACATGTCTTCGTAGAATAGTTAAGTTATATAATTAGCTTTTTTTTATGTTTTTCTTGAATATCGAATTTAATTTGGCAAGAAAAAATAGTTTTTCTTTTCATGTTACAAATATCTGTTTAAAATTAATTCAAATGTATGAGAAACACTAAAATAGTCGATTAAAAAGGTATATAAAGTAAATATTTGAAGTTTGTACTTAACAAAAAATGTTGAAGGACGCATAATATAAAGAGAATCCAGATATGTGAATGATAATGAACTTTCATGTGTTTTTTTAAATTCATATAGTTCAGGTAACTGAACTCACCAATCAAATCAACAAGCAATAAATATTGTTTTAAATTCAGTATACGTTATAGTTATTTCAAGGCCGCGAACGATATCGTGAAAAGAATTGTATAAACAGTTAAAAATTCGGTTTCATAATTGTGACATACTTGCTAGAATTCAGTGGACCTATGTGTAGCTAAAATTATTATACATATAAATATATATATATATATATATTGTTGAACTTATGCGTGAGTTTAGAACATTCGTATGTATTCTACGTTCATCTAGGCAGACAGGGTAGTTGCTAGTAAATTATAAATTCTTTTACTATCGATTTAGTATTTCTAGGAAAGATCAATAAGTTTATAGTTTTCATGTTATTAATCATATTTTATTTTAGTCATCCTATTTCAAGTGCCTCAATATGAACATTTACAAATTCTTATCTGTAATGGTAACTCCTTAACAACATTAGCTGGTGTTGAACATATTAAACGATTATGGAAACTTGATGTTGGAAATAATCAAGTATTTTTTTAATTTTTCTACAAATTCTTTTGCATATTTTTTCTGCATCAAATTAGATCCAAAGCCTTCAACATCTATCACGTTTTATAGCCCTTGGTTCACTTATTCTTTCCAATAATCATTTGCAATGGATTGAATTACAACATATTCGTCATATGTTCGTTCTCGATATAAGACTTGATGGAAATACTGTATTAGATGCTGATCCAAATTGTAAAAATTTCATAAAAAACAAATAATTATTCATGTAATCCTTGATTCTATATATATAGATCGTCAACATGTACTTGATTGTTTACCACGTATTTGGATGTGTGATGGTGTTTTTATTTCGAGTAAGTTTAAAACATAAGATAAAATAAATATAATTCGTCAAATTTTAGCTTCCGAACGTGAACAAGTAGAGGATTTTTTTGCACAATCATTTTTAACAAAAAAACCTGTGGTAAGATAATAACTTTAGCTAAAAACTTTCAATGATTTTTGTTGTATTTAGCGGCGAAAATTAGCACGAGATATATTTATGCCAACAAATTTAAAAGATCGTTCGGTAAATGGACTTTTTGGACCAAAAGTATAGAAGAAAAAGAATTTTTCTTTTTAATTAATTCGAAAAATATTTTATTTTATAGGCAACAGATTTATTTGCTAAATTTCCAATGAATTGTTTTATAAATTCTGGTAAAAGACATTTCAATCATAAGAAAAAATTTCAATTTTTTTTTCCTAATTTAGAAATTGATAAGAAAAGATTAAGACATTTAGCGCCAACAATGCAAGATATACTTGTTAAAGAAATGAAAAGTGATGACGGAAAGTAAGAAATAAAATTTAAGTTAAAAATTTCTACAATTATATTTTTTTAATATTAGAAAACAAGATGCGGTTGCGATAGAAAATCGTCAGTTATTTTATCAAATTGTGGATATTCGAGAAAGTCATGTCGAAGAATTCAATATGTTTCTGATACTACTTATCGTAAGTTAAACTATCAATTAGACGGATCAAAATTCAGATTAACGTTGCTAAGCTTAAATTTAATCTATATTTTTTATTTTCTATAGACTCATATGCTCTTTCAAATTCCTGATGAATTAGTAAATAATGTTCTGGATGTTACTCATATAAATACAATCGGGTATAAATTAATATGTGAAATCTATATATATATATGTACTTATTAATTTGTATGAATAGAAATTTAAAATTAAATCGTATATTTTCATCAAGCAACGAATTAAAATGTATGGTTGCATCTCTTGTTCATGGAGGTGCACGTATTGATCGAGATGAAAATCATGTAAATAAAATTTCTCATTCTATATAAAAACAATATTTTCTTCTCTATTTTAAGCCATCAGCATTTCATGATAAACTATTCAATAGTCTTTCTATTATACTTAATAATCAAATACGTCAATTTTCAGCTATAAATACTAATCAACCTTATCCAAATATCAGCGTGTAAGAAAACAATTAATTAATTTAAAAATATTTATATTTTAATGTCTAGAGTTTCGGAAGCAAAATCAATGTTATGTCTTGAAGTAATGCAAGTATTAATAATGTGTCCATTATTTTATTTACTTACCGATAATTCAAGTATGTTTTTTTAGGAAATGTTTTTATTTGAATTGTATAAGAAAAAAAAACTAATAATTTGTTTTTTATATAGCTATTCATGCAATTTTACAACAAGCTTTAGATCGATCAGTTGCATATGAAAGTGTAAAAAATATTTTAGAAAATTTAAATACTGATGAAGTAAAGAAATTCCTATGTACATAAGAAAATGTTTTTATTAATTTTCTTATTTTGTATAGAAATCAGCTGAAGAACAACGAGATGCATTAAAACCAATTCTTGGTAATATAATTAAAATGGCTATACGAACATTATCAACGAAAAAAACGAAAAAAACTATCGAACCAACATTAGTAGTATGCATGAAATAGTTTTAAAACGAATATAAATATCATACATTTAACTATTTTGATTTTTCCTAGGATGCAAATAAAGCAGATAATGATAATTCAAGTAAACGACAACAAGAACAAAATACGTCATCACCAAAACCATCACAACGAGGACATGTGCAACGTGCTCCTGGTAAGATAAATTTTTTCATGTAGAGATTTATATCAAACTTTTTTTCGATAGTATTCAGTTTAGTAAAATCTATTAGAGTTCGAGAAGTTATTATTTCTTCAAAATAATTTGAATGACTTATCTATCATGCTTTTTAGCATTAAGTTTTATATAAAACCCATTGGATCGAGAGTTTTTGAAAGTCGATCATCTATGTTAAGAATTATTTAAGGTACATTTTAGTTATAATTCTGAAAGTTCCTATTGTTATATCTTCTTATTCTTGAAGAATTTTTTTTCTTTAAGTATTTCTATTCTCAATTTTACTTGAATTTAAAGTGTTTTTTATTTACTTTTTCTTCCTACAAGGTTTAACAATACTAACTTATTTTTTACGACTAGAAATTCAAAGTAAAATTTTATCTAAATATATCTTTTAGGTATTGGTGATCGTATATTAACTGGACCACAAAAATCTGGTCGTATTGTAACACTTCCTGAATCTGATGTAGCATTAATTCAATTCGATCATATACTTGCTATTAATGGTTCAATGATCTCTAATGGTTCATTTAGTGATCATACGAATTATGTTAATATGACTAACTTCGAATGGGATGGTCCACATGAATATTGGAAACCAAAGTTTACTTTTGGTGATAAGTGAGTATCTTATATCTCGATTTCTCGTAAAAATTATATTTATTTTCGTACAGAATAACATTACATATAACAACAACAAAAGATGAAACCCCTCGAAGTGCTCCTGTATCACGAATATTACCAGCAAAAGTAATTTTAAATCTTCATTAAATTCTTATTTTTGAAAAATATTTTAGACATTAGAACCACTTGAAAAAGGACGTCCAGTACCAAAGTTATTTGAGATGAGTAAGTTTTTTTTTTTATTTCGAATTTTATATATTCTTATATTTTTATAGATATCAATAAACCGAGAGAAGCCTTTGTTGATTCAGCACGTGAATCAACACCACCACCATCTATGGTTGAACCTGATGACATAATTAATTTAAAAAAATCTTCAACTCTCGAACAAAAAACAATCTCCCCTGAACAGTAATTAATTTCCACTATATATTTTTTTATTTTCGTATCCTCTTTCTTATAGAATAACAATTGAACGTCCAATGTCTGCCCGAATTATAAAACAAAAACAAGAACAACAAAATAAAGATTCAACAACTGGTGAAAATCTATCAGCGTCACCTGTTCTCATTGAATCTACACTTCTTTTTATGCCTGATCAATCTCAAACACAAATTCCATCATTTGAACAACATCATCATCTAAATTCTTCATCATTTATTGATGAATTCGATCATGCAACAAATTTATATCGACGAGCAACAATACATCGTGTACCTGTACCAGTACATAATGCAACACAATGGTTTAACGGACCTAATATGCAAAATGAACGATCAGGTCGAATGGAAAAAGTTGTTTCTTCACTTCTTCGACGATCATTTCGTTCAATTTCAAATTATTCGTATGTTAAATTAAATAAAATTAATTTTTTCTCAAAATTCATTTTTAGAATGCCACGTGTACCAGTATTAACTTCACCATCATCAAGAGAACATGCTCAATATAAAGGTGTTCGACCAGGAACATTTCAAGAATTTAGTGTTGAAAGTCAACGTATGACACCATCACCATTTACATTAGATCGACAATTTCAATCAGCAAAAACTCGATTGTAAGTGTATTGAAAATTTAACTAAAAAATAATAAAAATTTTGATTTCTTTTCTAGTACACCATCCACACGTCTATATGATTTAACTCACTAAATTTATATCGTATTGTGTCTTAAACTTCTGATCAATAACCCGATAATGCCTTATATTCTTCTCGAATGTGATATATTATTTGTCTTATTACCTTATTTTGATCTGTGATAAAGGTTGTTTTTCTTCGAAATGTAGATAAGAAATTATGTTTGATCAGTATGGATTCAATCCATCCATATTCTCCTTATTTTAGATACGCTTTTTGTATTTCTTTGCATTTTATATAATCAATCCGTGCCTTTTTTTTTGTTACATTGAAGTATTTTACTGTAATCTCATATTTCAAAACATCACTATATAATAAATAAGAAATAGCAACAAAAGTATTTCATACGCACTAATTCATCAAAGTTTAAGA